ATTAGCTTGAGTTTATGCGCCGATTTAAAAAAAGCATGCTATATTGTACGTAGCCCCCCCCCCCCCTATTATCTAAGGGGCTACCCCCTATGATTATCTCCTTATACCCCCACACTCGCCCCCACATACCTAATTTGGTTCCATTTGCTTGATTAGTTCTCGAGTTATGCAGAAATTTCTGTTTCATTTGTATGGGATCCCCCCCCCCCTAACAGAAGGGGGAGGGGTCTCGAACCATCATAAGAACCTTCCACGGCCCCAAAAACCCCTGTATACAAATTTTCACGCCAATCGGTTCAGTAGTTTCCGAGTCTATAAGGGTCAGACAGACAGACAGACAGACAGACAGACAGACAGACAGACAGAAATTCATTTTTATATATATAGATATTAAAATTTATGGATTTTTTGATTTTTAATATTCTGATTTCCTAATGTCCTGATTTTCGGATTTACCTGTTTTCTGATTTTATGAACTCCAATTTCTATTTTCCAGTGTCTTATTTTTCATTTTCCAACATCATTTTTCATTTTCGAATTTCCATATTCAATTTTCTATTACCCATTATCTTTTTTCCAGTGTCCAATTTCCAATTTTCAATTTTTATTTTTTATTTACTAATACCCATTTATCATTTTCCATTTTCCATTATCGATTTTACGGTCTCCAATTTCCAGTTTTCATTTTTCCACTATCGATTTTCAAATAACCATTTTCCAATTTCCTATTTCTATTTTCCATTATCGATTGTCCATTATCCATTTTCCAATCTTTAATTTCCAATTTCTGTTTCCGTTTTCTATTTTTCAATTTACATTTTCCATTGTTCATTTTCCATTCTCCATTTTCTGTTTTATATTATCCATTTTTTATGAATCATTTTCCATTATACATTTTCCAATTTCCATCTTTCAATTTCCAATTTTCGTGTTGTGTTTTTCATTTTCCATTTTCAATTCTCCATTTTCCATTCTCTATTTTAAATCTTTCAATTTACTTTTTCTATGATCCATTTTCCAATTTCCTATTTCCAATTTACAATATCCAGCTTCCAAATGCTGATTTTCTGATAATGTGATTTTCTGATTTCTACAACTTTTCTGGTCTGAAAATCGGATTAGCTGCTTTTCCGATCTTACAATTGTTTGATTGTTAGATTTTCTGATAGTATTTTTATTATTTTTTCTTCAGATCTTTGGAATTCCTGATTTTTAATTTTCTGATTTTCTGATTTACCTTTTTATGAAGTCCAATTTCTACCTTCCAATTTCTTATTTTTCATTTTTCAATATCATTTTTCCATTTTCCAATTCTAATATACATGTTCCAGCTTCCATTATCCATTATCTATTTTCCAGTTTCCAATTTTCAATTTCTATACTTCGTTAACCGTTTACCATTTTCCATTTTCCATTATCCATTTTATAGCCTCCAATTTCGATTTTTTAGTTTTCCATTATCGAATTTCAATTATCCATTTTTCAATTACCAATTTCCGTGTTCCATGTTTCATTTTATATTTTCTATTTTGAATTTTCAAATTTCCAATTTCTAACTTTCTAATATCCAATTTATTATTTTCAATTTCTAATTTCTTATTTCCAATTTCCAATTTCCAATTTTCAATATCCAGCTTCCAATTTCCAATTTCCATGACAATTTCAAATACTGGTATTCTAATTTTCTGATTTCTTTACTTGTATGATAATCTGATTATCTGGTTTTCCGATCTTATGATTGTTTGATTTCTGATTTTTCGTTTTTTTTTCGGATTTTTTGATTAACAGATCTTTGGATTTTATGATTTCTGATTTTCTGATTTCCTGGTTTTCTGATTTTCTAGTTTTCTCATTTTCTGATGTTATGATTTTCTGATTGTCTAATTGTCTGATTTTTTTTTTGTTTTCTGATATCCTGATTGTCTAATGGTTTCGGGATTTCTGGATTCCATTTTCTGGTTCAATTTATATTTTCCATTATCCATCTCCGTTTTGCTTACTCCAATTTCCATTTTTTTCATTTTGAATTTCCATTTTCCAATTTCATTTTTTTTTATTTGTTATTTTTTAATTCCCATTTTTTAATTTCAAATGTCCTATTTCCAATGTGTTTGATTTTATAATTGTCTGATTTTCTCATTTTCTGAATTCCTATTTCCTGATTGTCTGATATTCTGAATGTCTAATTTTCTAATTTTGATTTTCCGACAATCTTCTGACTGTCTGATTGTCTGATTGTCTGATTTGCTGACGATCTGATTGTCTGATTGTCTGATTTGCTGACGATCTGATTGTCTGAATATTGGATTTTCTTATTTTGTTAATTTTATGATTTTCTTATTTTCTGCTTTTATGATATTCTGATATTCTGATATGATGATTTTGTGATTGCCTGATTGTGTGATTTTATTGCATTCTGATTAGCTGATTATACGATTTTCGAATTTCTTGATTTTATGATCTTATGATCTTACGATTTTCTGATTTTCTAATTCTTTGATTTTCTGATTTTCTTATTTTCTTATATTCTGATATCACGATTGTGATTGTCTGATTGTCTGATAGTCTGAATGTCTAATTTTCAGATTTTTAAATTTTCTGATTTTTAAATTTTCTGATTTTCTGACTTTCTTATTGTCTGAATATCTGATTTTCTGATTTTCTGATTTTCTTATTTTTTGATAATAATATTTTATAATTTTCTGATTGTCTGATTGTTTATTTTTTTTTATTTTTTTTTGTTTTCTCATTTTATGATTATCTGATTTTGTTATTTTTTGATTTCATGATATTCTGTTATTCTGATTTGATTGCCTTCTTCTTCTTATTATTCGCATTTCAAGCTTATTGCTTAGAGCATATTAGCTTGTTGCGTACTCTCAACTTAGTGTTCTAAATGCACTTCCTCAGTTATTAATTGAGAGCTTTCGATGCCACTACCAATGAATGAATTTGTATATTGTTTGGCTAGCACAATGATACTCTATGCCCAGGGAAGTCGAGAAAATTTCCAACCCGACAGATTCCCTCGACCGGACCGGGAATCGAACCCGCCGCCTCCGGCTTGGTAATACCGTGCCTTTACTGACTAGGCTATGAGGCCCCATTGTGATTGCCTGATTGCTGATTTGCTGATTATACGATTTTAGTATTTCTCGATTATATGATCTTTTGATCTTATCATCTAACGACTTTCTGATTTTCTAATTCTTTGATTTTCTGATTTTCTGTTTACAAGATTGTGATTTTCTGACTCTCTGATTGTCTGATTTTCAAATTTTCTGATTTTTATATTATACAATTTTCTGGATCTTAACATATTAGGATTGTCTGATTTCCCCATTTTCTGATTTTCTGAAAACCTGATTGTCTGTTGTCTGATTGTTTGATTTCGAAATTTTCATATTATACGATTTTCAAATTTCTGGATTTTCTGATTCTATGATGTTATGATTTTAAGATTCTCTGAAAACAAACATCGGCTTGTTCCAATTTATATTTTCTACTGTTCTGGGAAGTTGCCAGTATCCAATTACCTATTTCCAATATCCATTTTCATCTTTCAATTTCCATTTTTCATTTTTCATTACATTTTACAGTTTTTAAATTTCCATTATCTATTTTCCAATATCCAATTCGTTTGGTTTTCTTATTTTCTGATTTTCCAATATTCAATTTGTTTGATTTTCCAACTTTTCTGATTTTCTGATATTCTAATTGTTTAATTTTACGATCTTCTGAATTTCGGATTTTCGGAAATTCTAATTTTATGATTTTGTTATTGTCCGATTTTCTGATTGTCTGATATTCAGGTTGTCTGATTTTTTGATTTCCTAATTTTCTGATTGTATGATTTTCTGATTTTCAGATTTTCTGATTTTAAGATTTTTGATTTTTCTTGTTTGTCTGATTTTCTGATATTCAGATTTTCAGATTTTCTTCTAATTTTCTAAATTTCTGGTGACTGAAGGCGTGGTCAAAACATTCTTCACGCTAAAAATCTAATATCAAATTTATGGTAATTTTACCCAAATTTCAACATGCATAAAAGACACTCAAATTATTGATTATGAATAATTAGTTAATTAATGTCTCTTTATGTAAAATCCCAATCGATCTAATTGGTATTACAACAAATGTGAGAGGATTTCAAAGACAAATCCAGGAAATTTGTTCGCTGGAAAAAGTTTTCACGTTTCCATTTGAAATGCGTTCGGATATTTTTTTTTCCAGTAACCAATCCAAAGTTATGTAGGGGAAATGGATGTAATATCGGCCTAAATGCTCGTAATTTGGGCCCATACATAAATCAGTAAACGACTAAATTTTCAATAGTAACCAAAAATATCCATTAGTACAGTTCCAATGACGCGTTCATCTAGATAAAATTGATAAATATCAGATTTTTAGCGATGGGCCCAATCTCAGATCCATTGGCCACCATTAGAGCTATTTCCCCTGTATAAATTTTAAACAAGATTGAAGTGACCACATGAGTTATATGTGGTTTGCCATTCGTTACTTTTCCTAAACTGAAAAGAGAGCGAAATTGTCCTAAATTGTGCCATGTTATTATATCTCTAATAGCAAGTTTTCAGTGTTATATAATGATGACCAAAAACAAAATTCAGTTCAGAGTGATAGAATTTTAGATATTATTTTAATAACTTCCGAGAAGTGCTTTCGCCGCTTTCCTCAAAAATAGTAATTCGTCAAATTTTCCTAAAATTCTCCTTGTTCTGGGCCGTTTCTAAATGCATTTAAAACTATTAAAAACAACCAGATTTTAGTTGACATTATAAAACAAACATCTAAAGAATATTTTAACGGACATGAAGAGGGGCGTATTTTCCACTTCAGAGGGAAGGTGTCGAAATTCATGACAACTAATTGCTTCTACTCAGCAAACGTCAAGAACATCCACTGGTGAAAATTTCCAGTCAAAATAAACATGAATCATCTTGCTTAATCACTCAAAAAAAAAGGAAATTGATTCTCACCTTTCGACTCGTCCTCACCGGCATTCTTGCTCCAACATGCGGTTCCATTTCGCATAAAAATCCCCCTCCGGGCGAAACCCTTCTTATTTACGAACCGTTTGCTGCGAACCTTCCCGACCGCAGCCATTGGAACCTTTTCCCCGTCACCTCCGTTGGCCATTTTCACGTTCTCCATCAGTTTTATTTCGCTCTCATCTTCGCCACACGCCGGCGATTGCCCATTAGTCTTCCCCTCCGAGGCCGCCTTCGGCTCCACCATCGTTCGCTCCGGCAGCAGCAAAAACTCCTGGATGCGCCGTATCGAGATCAACCCTTCGGCGGTGGAAGTCAACGCCAGAGGCCAAAAGTGCAGCATCGAACTGTACAGCAGATTGAAGTAAGACGTAACGATGAAAACCTTCTTGGCCGTGAATACGTGCCCAAAGTAGCAGTACCCGACCAGGCTGAGGAAGATGGACAGCCGGGAAACGAGATTGAACGACAGCAGCCCGGCACGTATGAACAGCGTGCCGCGGATGCCCCGGATCTCCCGCCGTCGGATCTGGTGCACCATGCGACCGAAGCTCGACTCCCAGGCGTACATCTTGATCACCTGGATGCCCTGGATGATTTCGTTCATGAAGCGCACCCGCCGGTCCGTGCGGGTGGCCGTTTTCAGCCGGAACGAGGCGGCCTTTTTGCCGACCCAAGCTGCGGGGGAAATGAAAGTAGAGAAAGGTTAGAAATTGGATTGGAATGGACGAAACGTGCCCCTGTCAGGGGTGTTAATGGTTCTGCTGAATATGCTGCCCAGAGAGCGATGCCCATTGCGAGTAAGGCCAAGGATCTGAGTTATTACTTTTCTTTTGAAACTACTTCGAGATTACTTTTGAATGATTCAGATGGGCATAACTTTCTGGTTACATTTAATTTTCGGCCAGGGCGCTTTTGGCTTTAGTTGCATATAGGTAGGCGATTTGTAATAGGTTATTTCGATAAGTTGATTCTATGATTTAACGAGTAACGATTTACGGGGAGTTAGCAGTATTTAATATGCGTCAAAACATCAAAAAGCTAAATAGCGTGTTGATTGAAAATTAGGCTTCCGTTCGTTCACTACTGCCGAGCAGTAAATTCTGAACTACCTTCTGTTTCGGTTCTAGTGTAGCAACTCCGTACTTACTCTGCAGAAGCATAAAATTGGCCAACTAGAAGGTTGCAGTTGCTCATTTAGCATAAAATCATATTTTTTCGGTATAATGGATTCAAAAAAAATTAAATGTTTTACCATGAGTATGATCGCTGAGTGAGTGAGTGAGTGAAAATGAATAAAATCGCTGATAATGAATCAAATGTGTTCCGATTTTTATTATAATGAGTATTTGCAACCTTGTCTCCGACCAAATATACTGGTAGGCCTACGATTTATTAACCTCGCTGCACCATCACCAAAGCGATAGAAGAAAGAGGTGCGTGTGAACTTTTCTCACCTCACCTCGGAACGGAACGAAGTTGTGAGGACGGAAAACTTTACGATGTGGTTACTGAGTCGGTCGTGCAGACTGTCGGTTTCAAATGGGCGGGGGTAATTGTGTCGATTGTTTGGTTGGTGGGTTCACTGGAAAAATGTAACTTCCCTAAATTCGGATGGCGGCAGCGTCGCAAAAACTGATGATTGCAGTCATAAAACAATATTTATGATAAACAAAATGTTGATTGGGGGGGGGGGGGGGGGGGTTTCCTATATGCGTGTAATGATAACGGTCGTGGGGAACTAGGCAAAGTTTGCATGTTTGGCGAAATTCGGTCCTTCAGAGTGTATTTGCTATTTCTGCAGAAAAGTGGGTATTTTGGCTAGTGAACTTTCATTCAATCTGAAATACTTGACGTCAGTAGAGCGAGTTCAATTGCTGGTCCGGTTGATGGTTGAATTTGTTGTTAAACTTCCCTGGACAGGTCATTCATCATCCCAGTAAGGTTGATGATATACGACTAAAATAAAGTTCAGGAGCCCTACATTAGTCTTATATTGCAAAAACACGATTAGCGGGTAGTTAGCGAAGTTTGAAGCGTTGTAAACCCGTTGTCAAACAGTTTTGTACAACTCTGTCGATTAGGATGGATGGAGCAGCAAGTAGCAAATAAATGTAAACAAACAAACACGTCATATGTGTTTGTGACGCTGATAAAATGCTAATAGAAGCATGAACGCTACTTAGATTGACGAGAATACGTAAATTCCCTTTTTGTGATTGTCTGATTTTCTAATTTTCTGATTAACAGATACTGCTACCCCCCGAAGAACGCGTTACCCACTGAGTTGCACCCACCGCTTTTTTCTCGGTGAGGTTTCAACCAGTCGGTCTGATTTTTTGTATGTGGGTGGTGACAATGGAGAACTAGTAACTCGCAGAAAATCAGAGCGCCGAGAAAAAGCAGTGGGTGCAACTCAGTGGGTAACGCGTTCTTCGGGGGAAAGCTGTAATAAGATTTTCAGATTCTCTGATTTTCTGATTTCTTGCTTTTCTAATTTTCTGCTTGCCTGATTGTGTGATTTTATAGTTTTCTGATTTTCAGATTTCTGGATACAATTTTTCTAATAATTTTCTAATTTTATGATTTTCAGAAAACAACCGTTGGTCCTATTATATTTTCCATTGTCCATTTTCTATTTTTCAATTTTTAATATTGATTCTGATATTCTGATATTCTGATTTTCTTATTATCTGTCTGATATTTTGATTTTCTGATTTTCTGATATTCTGATTTTCTAATCGTCTGATTTTCTAATCGTCTGATTTTCTGATTTTCAACATTTCCGATTTTCTGATTTTATGATTGTCTGATTATTTGAAATTCAAATTTCCTAATTTTCTTATTTTTATATTATACCATTGTCAGATTTCTAGATTTTCTGAACTTCTGATTTTCTGATTTTATGATTTTATGAATGTCTGATATTCTGGTTTTCTGTTTTTTTTTTCTGATTTTCTTTTCTGATTTTCTGATTTTTTTTATTTTAATTTTCTAATTTCCTGATTTAATAATTTTTAGATTTTTAGATTATCTAATTTTCTGATTTCATTGTATTCTGAAATTCTGACTGTCTGTTTTCTTATTTTCTGATTTTTTGATTGCACAATTTTCGGATATCAAGATTTTCTGATTTCCTGATTTTCTGATTGTCTGATATTCTAGTTGACTGATTTTCTGATTTTTTTTTTATTATTTTCTGATTGCCTGTTTGTCGGATTTTCTGATTGTCTGATTGTCTGATTTCTTAGATTTCTGTTTTTTTCAGATTATACGATTTTTATGTTTCTAGATTTTATGATTTAATGATTTTTTGATTTTATGGTTTTATGGTTTTACTATTTTATAAAAAATAAACCGTCGGCTTAGTCCAATTTCTATTTTGCATTGTCCAATTATTTTCAATCTCAATTTTCGTTTTCCATTTTTCAAATTCCGATTTTAATTTTAATTTTTTTGTTTTACATTTTACATTTTTTCAGCTTCAATTTTCCAATTTCCAATTTGTCTAAGTTTCTAATTTTCTGATTTTCTGAATTTCTGGTTTTTTCGATTTTCTGATTTTCTGATGTCCTGATTTTCTGATTTTCTAATTTTCCTACATTCTGATTGCATTCTGATAAAATCATTATGATTTAATGCTACTCTAATATTCTGATTTCTTAATGGTCTGATTGTCTGATTGTCTGATTGTCTGATTGTCTGATTTTAAGATTAAACTAGTTTCGGATTTCTTGATTCTATGATTTTATGATCTTCTAATTTCATGATTTTCTGAAAACAACCGTTGGTTTGGTCCAATCTATAGTTTCCATTGTCCATTTTCTAACTTCCAATTTCCAATTTCCCATTTGCAATCCCTATTTCCGTTTTCCATTTTCCAATTTAAATTTTTCCACTATCCATTTCTTATTTCTAATATTGATTCTGATTGTCTGATATTCTGTTTTTTTCTTATTGTCTGTATGATATTTTGAAATCCTGATTTTTTGATTTTATGATTGTCTGATTATTTGATATTCTAATTTCCTAATTTTCTTATTTTCAGATTTCTGGATTTTCTAATTTTCTGATGTTCTGATTTTCTGATTTTCCTAATGTCTGGCATTTTGGTTTTCTGATGTTCTGAATTTTTTATTTTTTATTTTCTAATTTTCTGATTTTGAGATTACCTAATTTTATGATTTCATGATATTCTGATTATCCTGATTTTCTGATTTCCTGATTTTCTGATTGTCTAATATTCTAGTTGTATGATTTTCTGATTTTTTAATTTTCTAGTTCTCTGATTTTCTGATTACCTGTTTGTCGGCTTTTCTGATTGTCTGATTTCCTAGATTTCTATTTTTCAGATAAGGGGCTGTCCATAAACTACGTAGACAGTTTAGAGGGGGGGGTTGAAAATTATCCACGGCCCATACAAATTTTAAATTTTTTGTATGGGCAATTGTCTACGCCGGGGGAGGGGGGGGGTCAAGAATCCCAAAAAACTGTCTACGTAGTTTATGAACAGGCCCTAATACGATTTTTAGATTTGTGGATTTTATGATTTTATGATTTTAATTTCTGATATTCTGATTTTCTAATCGTCTGATTTTCTGATTTTCAACATTTCTGATTTTCTGATTTTCTGATTTTCTGATTTTCTGATTTTCTGATTTTCTGATTTTCTGATTTTCTGATTTTCTGATTTTCTGATTTTCTGATTTTCTGATTTTCTGATTTTCTGATTTTCTGATTTTCTGATTTTCTGATTTTCTGATTTTCTGATTTTCTGATTTTCTGATTTTCTGATTTTCTGATTTTCTGCTTTTCTGATTTTCTGATTTTCTGATTTTCTGATTTTCTGATTTTCTGATTTTCTGATTTTCTGATTTTCTGATTTTCTGATTTTCTGATTTTCTGATTTTCTGATTTTCTGATTTTCTGATTTTCTGATCTGATTTTCTGATTTTCTGATTTTCTGATTTTCTGATTTTCTGATTTTCTGATTTTCTGATTTTCTGATTTTCTGATTTTCTGATTTTCTGATTTTAAGATTAAACTGTTTTCAGATTTCTGGATTTTCAAATTTCCTGATTGCCTGATTGCCTGATTTTCTGATTTTCTGATTTTCTGATTTTCTGATTTTCTGATTTTCTGATTTTCTGATTTTCTGATTTTCTGATTTTCTGATTTTCTGATTTTCTGATTTTCTGATTTTCTGATTTTCTGATTTTCTGATTTTCTGATTTTCTGATTTTCTGATTTTCTGATTTTCTGATTTTCTGATTTTCTGGATTTTCAAACTTCCTGATTGCCTGATTGCCTGATTTTCTGATTTTCTATTTTTTTAATTCTCTATATTCTGACTTTCTGATTGTCTAATTGTCTAATTTGTCGTTTTCTGATATTCTGATTATGTAATTGTCTGATTATCTGATTTTATGATATTCTGATATTTTGATTGTCTGGTTTTATGATTTTATGCTATTCTGATATTCTGATTTCCTAATGGTCTGATTGTCTGCTTTTAAGATTAAACTTTTTTCAGATTTCTGGATTTTCGAATTCTCTGATTGTCTGATTTTCTGATTTCCTGGTTTTTTGAGTTTTGGAAATTCTGTAATTCTGATTTTCTGATTGGCTAATTATCGGATTTTTTTCGGATAGACTGATTTTGTAATTGTCTGATTTTCTAATTTTCTGAATTTTTAATTTTTAGCAATTCTGATTTTTTGTCTTCTGACTGTCTGACTTTCTGAATCTGAATTTCTTAATTTCTGCTTTTATGATTGTCTAATTTTCTGATTTTATAATATTCTGATTGTCTGATTTTTATGATTTTATGCTATTCTGATATTCTGATTCCCTAATTGTCTGATTTTAAGAATAAACTATTTTCAGATTTCAGGATTTTCCAATTTTCTGATTGTCTGATTATCTGATTTCCTGAATTTCAATTTTTTTTTAAATTTTCTATAATCTGATTTTCTGTTTGTCTAATTATCTGATGTGTTGTTTTCTAATATCCTGATTGAGTAATTGACTGATTTGCTGATTTACAGAATTCCTAATTTTCGGAAATTATGATTTGTTATCTTCCGATTCTTCGATTTTCTGATTTTCTGATTTTCTGAATTCCTGCTTTTATGTTTGTCTGATTTTCTGATTTTATGATATTCTGATATTCTAATGGTCTGACTGTCTGATTTTAAGATAACACGATATTCGTATTTGTGGATTTTCTGATAGTCTGATTTTTTGATTTTCTAAATATCTAATGTTCGGAAATCTGATTTTCTGACGGTCGCAAATTCTTATTTTCTGCTTTTAATAATTGTCTGACATTCTGAATTGTCTGATTTTAAAATATTCTGCTATTCTACTTGTCTGATTGTCTGAGTGTCTGATCTTAAGATTATAGAATTTTTAGATTTCTGGTTTTTATAATTGTCTGATTTTCTGAATTTCTGATTTTCTGTTTTTGTTTCTGTTTTTTTTTTATATTTTTGAGCCTTCAGACATCTCGCTAAAAATCTAATATCCCAATTAAGAATTTACCCAAATTTTAGCACTGTCCCATAAGTAAAAAAGTAAGTTAAAGTTGTTAGGAAAAGAGCTTACTATTTTGAGTTAATTTGTCTCAAATATGCATAAAGTCAACCCCAGCACCCGCCCATCCCCTTTCAACATTGCCAAATGAATTTAGCAATTAGGGGTAACAAAAATTTAGCCCTATTCAAAATCCTGTATTAAATTAAATTAATAATAAAAGATAATTATTCGTGCAGTTTAAGATAAAACGGAGAGCTATATACGAGTTTGAATAGGGTAAATTATGTTGTTGCCCCTTCAATATATTGTAATTTTTTAAGGGGGAGGGGGGGGGGGTATATATGACATAATTTAAAAATAAAATTTATATCAGCCTTAATGTTACTCATTAAACATACATGATAGGTAAAAGTTACTCATTAAATGGGTAATTGTTTTACCCAGTACTGAGTAAAGCCACTTTTATTCAAAATAGGTGAAGTTTTACGCATTCATGGGTGCTTTCAAGGTATCGTGTGCAGAGGAACAGGCAATTGATGTTATTAATTTAAGCTAGAATATGAATCTCGAACAGATGCCAAAAGACAGGCTTGAAACGGGACTGTTGTAAATTACAGTATAACAGTTACAAATTAGCATCAACAATTACATTTGCCGGCCCACTCTGCAACGGTTATCAGAAATCGTTAAACGAGAGATTAGAGATTTAGAAAGAGAAGATAAGAGTTCAAAGGAAAACCTAACAAGTACCGTGTTCTTACTCTATGATAGAAATGAATATAACGTTGATAGTACGATTTGTGGACAGAAAGTGATTATCTTGAAGACAACTACCATTGTGACCTATTGAACTCGTGAAAATCGAAGATTTTACAGCTGTTATTTGCTACAGTGATATTAAGTCCGAAGATTCCGGAATTTTCCTAAAAATATGTGTGCCCATTTCTCCGGGCTTCCTCGAAGTTCTCTGGGCTTCCCTGAAATTCTTTGAACTTCCTTGAAGTTCGCAGTATTGTTCTGAAGTCCTCATAACTTCTCAAAGTTCCCACAATTTTCCTGGAGTTAATAGAATTGCCTTTATGTTGTTCTGAAGTTTTCGAAACTACTTTGATGCTCACGGAGCTTCCCTTCAAATCTTCATACTTTCCAGGCTTGTTTTTGGACTGACCTAAAGATCCTTCAGTGTTCCTAACAAATTTGGGTTTTATCTGAAGTTCCTGAGATTTTTCTAGAATTCTTGCAAGTTCCAAAAGTTTTAAAAATTTCCCAGAAGTGCCCTGAAGATTTCTGATTTTCCTAGAAAATCACTAAACTTCTGTGGGGTTCTCAAAACTTTCTGAAATTTAGAAAACATCTCTAAAGTTCTCTGGATTTCTCCAAAAATTTGAGAATCTCTAAAATGATTCCGTTATTTTCCTGAAATCAGTAAAAAATGCATTGTCTTCCCTAAAGTTGCTCCATTTCTTTAAACCGTACTGAAGCTGGCGGCACTTCATTTAAAATGTTCCAGCATTTTCCTAATGTTCTTGAAACTATCCTGAAGTGAAGAAAGTTTCCTTGAATTTCTAGGGTCTTCCCTAAAGTTTTCTGGACTTATATGACGTTCCCGTTGTTATTTTTAAGCTAGCTGGCTTCTGTAAAGATCTTGAGATTTTCCAAAAAATAATTAACTTCTCAGAAATTCTTTGGACTTTCTTGAAATTTTCGGAAATTCCTAGAAGTATTTTCCAGACATTAAAACGAAATGATTAATTTAGCTCCAAGATTTTCAATGAATAAAAATTTTCCTGAAGTTCGTGGAACTGCCCTAACACTATTGAACTAATTCTTCAACATCTTAAAACTTCAAAAAATTCTAAATTTTTCAGATTTTATTGGCACTGTTCAAACGATCTCCAAACTTCGCAAACTTCTCAGTAATTTTTAAAAAGTACTCGCAATTGTACTGAAGTAAATTGAACTGTCGGAAGTTCATTAAATTACGGATTTCAACAAAGATCAAGGTACGTAAACCGTGATCTTCCTTGAAATTCCCGTAATTTTCCAAAACTTCTCAAAATTTGTTTGATGTTTGCGATAGTTCTGTTGAAGTCACATGTTTTACTTGAACTTTTTTGACTTCCCTGAACATGCCTATATGTTGTTATGTTGCGGCAGTTTTTCCTGAAATTTATAAAACTTTTCATATCATACATTGTTCCTGAAGTTTTGGAAACATTACTAAAATTTCGTAATATCCCATATTTTTTTAAATCCTCTGAAGTTCACTGTTCATTTTTGAAGTACTCGAAACATCCCTGAATAAAATGAAACCATCTTAAAATCTCTTAACTTCTTTAAAGTTCTATAGACTTTCTTGAAGAATTCGGAACTTCTTAAAAGTGCTGACAAATTTCTTGATATCAATGGAACTGCCCTGATCTTTGCTGAAGTTTGAAACTGCCATGCAAATCGCGGAACTTCCCTTATAATGTTTCTTAAATGTTTTTTTTTAGATCTAGGTACTGAAATCTGTGATAGGGAAATTACTTTTTTCCCACCAAGAAAGCCCTACCTTGAAACGAACCAACCAAACTTCATCCTTGCCCGCCAGCATCATAACGAACTAAATGGATTCCCAAAATAATCCAAGCTGAGTGCCATCGCAAAAAAGAAACCGACCCAAATCCACACTTTCAAGCAACACATTTATGAATAAGCCATAAACAGCAGCGGTGTATCGAATTGAAAAAAAAATCTCAACCCCAACCCAAGCTCGAAGTCGAAATCACCCAGAATGTGGTCGATGGCTACTTTTATCGAGAGAATTGCCAGCATGCTAACCCCGCCCCATTATTTTTGATTGCTGTTATAGAGTGCCGAGAACCGAGCCGACATATTCCGACAGTACTGTTCAAATATTGATGAAACGTGTTGCGAAAATGCTTTCGGAACCAATGTGTGTGGGAGTGTGAGTGTTATAAAATGTTAGTCAATTTATGTACAGGGATTCAGGGCGTTTTCCACAACCAACAGTTTAATCCCGTAAATTGATGCTCTCGGCACAGCTTCTCCCGCTTAGGGGTGATTGGTGAAATGTGGGTCGTTTGTTTTCTGGGATGAGTAGTTTTCCGCTGGGACTATCTGTATATGGATATGCCGACAGTGACGTTGTTCGCAAAGAATAATCCAACATGCCGACGCGTCGGTGTCAAAATTTTGACGCCCGGCTTTCAACCTTGCACAGAACCGACATAGATATGCCTCTACCATACATACCTTGCAGTGGAATGAAACTCAGCAGGAATGCAATGCCAATCAGTCCGGCGAAGCCAATCTCCCGGTAGATGAAGAAGCCCAGCACCAGCAGCTCGATCGGACCCTTCCAGATGTCCTGCACGAAGCCGACGGCCGTGTCAAACTTGGCCACGTCGTTGGACATCAAATTAATCACCTGCCCGGTGAGGCCATCCGTGCCGGCTGCCTTCGTGATTCGGAGGGCCTGTTTTTTTTATTGGGTGAAAGGAAGAGAAATTGAGGCAGGGTATTCACTTATTCATTCGATGTTTTTGGTGGTAGTGTCTGTCTATGGTATGGTAGAACCGGTGGTTATGCGAAAGTCAGTCCGAAATGTCCCCAGGGAATGTCCATCGCACGTTTTTGTTTTATTACGATCGGAGGCTGTACCCTTTCGCTTTAGGTTTTTTTTTTTTTTGGAGAGCATTCCCAAGGCGTGCATAATTCATTCAATCACACTTTTCACACCGGCTGAAAGGTTTACTAAGCTACACGGACAGGGTTTCTGAGCAATTCCACGCCGAATGAAGAATCGATCTGACCGATTTGCATGGAACTTTGCATAATTGTTTGCTTCACACTTGAGCTAAAATTCGGATATTTTAAATCTCGCAAAATGCTGAAAAATGGCGCATTTGATATTTTTAGCAAATCACAACTCAAAAACGTCATTTCCATTATAAAAATAATTCCTTTTTTGGAAAAAAAAATATAAATGGTAAAAAATCAAAGAATGTATCAAACATAAATAACAAAAAATTGTCCTCATCAATATTGACTGCTGAGTGTGCCCGGCCTTGCTCGGGATTCAATGTTAGCTTGAGCTTATGCACCGATTAAAAAAAATAATGCTATTTTGCGTAGCCGCCTCCCCCTCTTATCTAAGGGGATACCCCCTATGACCTCCACATGCCAAATTTGGTTCCATTTGCTTAATTAGTTCTCGAGTAATGCAGAAATTTCAGTTTCATTTGTATGGGAGCCCCCCCCCCACCCCTTGCAGATGAGGGAGGGGTCTTGAACCATCATAAGAACCTTTCTCAGACAGACAGACAGACAGACAGACAGACAGACAGACAGACAGACAGACAGACAGACAGACAGACAGACAGACAGACAGACAGACAGACAGACAGACAGACAGACAGAAATTCATTTATATATATAGATAAATTTTTCATTAAAAAGCTCATATAAAATGCTATCTTCAGTGAAATTTCAAGGTATAGGGGAAATGGATGTAATGTCAGCCTAACTGCCCCTAATTTGGGCCCATACATAAATTCAGCAATCGACTAAATTTTCAATAGCGGCCGAAAATATCCACAAGTACCATCCCAAAAACGTGTTCATCTAGATAAAATTGATCAATAGCAGATTTTTAGCAATGGGCCCAATCTTAGATCGATAGGCCAACATTAGAGCCATTTCCCCTATACTTAAAAATTTACAAAAATCGAATTCACAAATCCATTACTTTTCTTATTTTTTTATTTGGCTGAACATTTTCAGAAACGTTTCTCACGACCAAAAATGCAATCTAAATCGAGCATTAATTTTGAAAAGGGCCTACAGACAAATGTTAAGATTATCTTCAGAAAACTGTTGCTGGAAAAATGTTTGTGCAATCGGTTTGGTACCAATGTTGTAGGGAACATCTGAAACTATTTGAAAAAAATGCACTCTAAAAAAATTTAATTATTTTTTTTTTTTATTTAAAATAAAAAAAAACTTAAAAATTGTTTTTCTCAGAGAGACATAGATAGTTTAAAGCTAGTATTCTCCCGATCAAGCTTCAAAACTTTCGCATGGTAGAGCCACATTCCGTGTTTCACTGAATGTACACCAGGCTGCGCTCCCGGAAATGTGCCTTTCATATCCGGATATGTTCCTGGAATCTCCAGCAAAGTGACCACTTTCTATCTTGGACCCCATGACAAGCATAACATGATATGAGCATTCTACAACTCTAAATCACGGTCTACAGAACCCTCATAAAACCAGATTGCTTGAAAGTTCGCTAACAATTGAATTGAGTACCCAGGATCACATTGGATTTAAAATCTCATCAAATCACTTGAAAATGCAAGTTTATGACCATTGGTGGCCATTTTGAGCGCCAAACGTCGGATGGGCCACACACGTAACGCATGAGATATCAGGAATAAAATGAATGGCTATGGTTATATTAAGCAATTTGGGAACACTTTGGTTCGCTTGGGTGAGCAATCCAAATACACCATAAAACACATAAATCCGTATTAGTCTACACAGTCGCACATGTCATTCTAAAATTAGCTTACTTCTTTTATCTGAATGCAGACTTGGGCAAATTAGCTAGAATTTAAATAATTAAGAAGGGTTTAGATCTCACCATACAAACGTGACCCACTCATGCCATCAAGAATTTACATGGTAGTTGTAACTGTTAGCGTCTTTATTTCAAGGCTGTTTTAGATAATCGTGGTCGTTAAATTGTTGAAAAATAGCGGCAGGTAGTGTTCGTGAGGTTTGTGCAGTGCCGTGGTTGAGGGTAGTCGCGGGTAGTCGGTTGCAAACCGAAAAAAATGTTTGCAAAATAGATAAAATACAGCAGGGAGCACAATCTCACCGCAAATGTTAAATTTTAAAAATACACTGCACCCAAATCAGTCCCCTCGAACACTTAACTATTAAATTTGAAACTACTAACGTCTGATATACATGTTCAGGTAAATTTAAAAATCAGTTAATTTGAAATGGCAAGCGCCCCTCCCAAGTAACATTGCAAGCTTTATAGAGGTTTTATAGCATTCTACAAGTCTAAATCATGGTCTACAGAACCCTCATAAAACCAAAATTGTTACTTGGGCTGGTAGACAAGTTCAATTTAAAATTTGAAATGTTTTGCGCCCCTGATAAACGCGTTCTGGAAAACATTGAAAAAGGATACATTTGAAATGACTTGCGCATGTTTAAAAGGATTGAAATCGTTCAATTTAAAGTCTATAGCGCCCCTAATATACATGTTCAGGGAAAAATTCAAAAAAATCTGGAAAATCTTTTAAAAAATATAAAGCTTGAAATAGCTAGCGCCCCAGGTAGACAAGTTCAAGTGAAAATTAGAAATAGTCTGCGCCCCTCATATAATCATACAAAATCGTTAAATTTGAAATGGATTGCGATTGATAAAAATCTTTAAATTTTAAGTAGTTATGAAGATTTTTTTTTTAATATTAAATTTGAAATGGCTTATACCTCTGGTATAAATTTTACGGCAACAATCAATCAAAAATTGTAAAATTGAAGTTGCCTGTGCCCCTGATCGGGGAAAATTAAAAAAAAAAGTTAAATGATACCACTGAACTGTTAAAAAGTTCATCTGGTTGTGGTTGACCACTTACGGTGCAAATCCTGATAGGGGGACAAAAGTTGGCGCTAATTAGCGGCGTAAGATAGAAATTTTGACATGATGATGATTTTAAAAAATTCCACAGTGAGGTATGGGACAGAAGTTTGGAATTATATAAAAAAGATCGAAATCACTTCGGACAGTACTGAATCACTTGAGAATAGCTCGGAACCAGTTCGAAAAGCACTGAATCACTTCATAAAAAATAGGAATCACTTCGGAAAGTACTGAATCATTTCAAAGAGCACTTAATAACTTATGAAAAGCTCGAAATCACTTCAGAAAAGTTTGGACTCACTTCGAAGGTGCCGAATCACTTCAGAAATGTTTTCAATCACTTCGGAAACTACTGAATCACTTAGGAATGTATTGTATCACTTTCGAAATGTTCGGAATCACTTCTGAACGTACTGAATCGATTCAGAACAGTTTGGATTCACCACAGAAAGTACTGAATTACTTCAGAAATATTAAGAGTCACTTAACAAATTACTGCATAACTTCATAATAAGACCGGAAACACTTAATTAATATTCGAAATCACTTTGTAAAGTACTGAATCATTGCGGAAAGTTAACTTTGAAAATAATTGAATAACTTAGGAATGCACTGAATCACTTCAGAAATGTTAGGAATCACTTCGAAAAATACTGACTATCTTCAGGAATGTTTGGAATCACTTTGGAAATACTGTACTGTAAAATTTCTACCTTGTTTAACTCTTATTCCTCTTCGATCCTTGTTTGGACCCTACCCGGGGTAATCCTTCTTGGATATCGATTTTGAAAATTCCTCTTCGATCCTTCAGATTCTTATAGTAATCTGCTTGGAAGTCGATTTGGATAAAAATTTACTGCCGCCATGGCGCCTAAACGCAAAAGAAAGGGGCAAACTCTTGATCCCCCTTCAGATGAAATTAATTTGAGTAATCAATTTGATTTGCTCACGGATGATGAGAATGATTCAACATCCAAGAAAAATTCTAGTAAACTTTCCCGGATTAATGCCAAGCAAGGTTGCAAAAACTCATTTCAGCTCAAACAATGTTTTTCTAAATTATGAAATAATTAGATGCCATGATCAAATTTTGAATTGGTAGGATACAAGAAGAGGTTGCAAAGAATGTGTTTGACATATTAAACCTGTTTATTTCACTTCATGAGAGTCACAATCAGCGATTTTTCACAAACTCACTCACTCACTCACTCACTCACTCAGCGATCAGCAAATCGCTGATTGTGACTCATAGAAAGCAAAATTTACAGGTTTTATGTTTCCAACGCATACTTTGTAACCTCTTCTTGTAAGTTACAAGTAAAACATGCCATCATACCATCTTTTGGTTTTATTATTCCGAAAAACATTATTTTAGCTGAAATGAGTCTTTGCAACCTTGATGCCAAGAAGGAAAAGATTCCCCCTATTGTGATAACCACCTCCGATTTCCATGCTCTTCGCATGGAACTTTTGAACTTCGTGAAAGTTAAGTTTTCACTACAAATTGGACGTCGGGGTGAATGCCGTGTATTGGCTGAAACCTTGGACGGATTTAAATGTCTTCTCAAGTATCTTACTGAGAAGCAGCACAATTTTTTTACTTACGACACCAAAACTGAACGTGTGTTCAAGGTTGTCATGAGAGGACTGCCCAGTGGTGAATCCCTGGATCAGATCAAAGATGAACTGGGAAAATTACTTGGAGTTGTGCCACTCCAAGTAATCAAAATGAAAATGAAATCCCGTCCTGGCGATTCGCGCAACGGGATTTCTAATGATTTTTATTTAGTTCACTTCAAGTCTAGTGAACTAAACAACCTTAAGGCCTTAGAAAAAGCTAGCCTTATGCTCCATGTCCGAGTGAAGTGGGAACACTTCAGGAAGACTGGAGGAAATTTCCAAAACCTCACACAGTGCCGTAAGTGCCAGGACTGGGGTCACGGAACTAAAAATTGCTACAAGCCAGCTAAATGCATGAATTGTGGTGGTTCCTCTCACGCAAAAGACGACTGTCCTGTGAAGGAAGATCCTAAGAAATTTAAATGTTCAAATTGTGGTGAAAACCACAAATCCAATTTTTGGGAATGTAAGACTCGCAAAGCAATCCTACAATCTCGTTCTAAGCGACAGGTAGGAAACGCTTCACGTTTTCGACCAGGTACAAATTCCTCTGCTGTTAACAACGGTCAGCGAGGAACAAATTCTACATTCGTACCCGTTGGTACATTAATCACCCCTGCTTGAAATTTTTCATCTATACCTACTCCCCTTGCTGATGACAATGTTCAGCAAGTTAATGCAGCTATCTATGATGCTATTGCAGTGGGTATAAATCAAAATACTAACCAACGTAATTCTAACGGAAATTTTGACAATTTTGACTTAGGAAGCATTACTACCCCTAAAATGGAATTTTTACAGAAATCATGTTTAATGTTATTCAAACTGGAGTAAAATTTGCAAACAATATTGTCATGACTTTGAAATTCAGTAATGGATTTTAAAGCATTAAATATTTTAAATTGGAATGCTCGATCTCTTAAAGATAATGAAGACGAGCTATTTAACTTTTTGAGAGTTCATAACGTGCATATTGCCGTTATAACTGAAACGTTCCTTAAGCCTGATCATAAGGTTAAGAAGGACGCAAATTATTTCATTTATAGAACTGATCGTTTTGATGGACCCTGTGGTGGCGTTGCCATCATTGTTCATAGACGAATCAAACATCAAATTCTTTCTTCATTTGAAACCAAAGTTTTTGAAACGTTGGGAGTTTCTGTTGAAACAAAATTTGGACAACTTACGTTTATAGCTTACAAACTTACTCGTCATAGGTCTAAATTCTTCATCATTGGTAATTTTAATGCAAAACACCGCTCATGGAATAATGCTCAAAGCAATTCCAATGGTAATGTTCTGTTTGATGATTGTTCTGCAGGTTATTACACTATTCAATATCCAAACAGCCCAACATGCTTTTCTCCAGCAAGAAATCCCTCAACTATTGATTTGGTCTTAACTGATTCATGTCAATTTTGTAGCCAATTGGTTACCCATGCTGACTTCGGTTCTGATCACCTTCCAGTAACTTTTCAAATATCCCAAGAAATAATTTGTAATCCCAACAGCTCTACTTTCAATTACCATAGAGCTGAATGGGAGCAATATCGACCATTTATGGAATATAACTTCGATCCAAACATTCCTTTCCAAACCAAAGATGAAATTAATTATGCTCTTGAATCTCTGACTACTTCTATAGTTGAAGCAAGAGCTGCCTCAGTACCAAAATGCGAGGTTAAATTCGATTGAAATTCTTCAGCTCTTGATCCGTCTTAAAAATGTCCGTAGGAGACAATATCAAAGAACACGCGATCCTGCCATGAAAGTTATCTGGCGGGATTTGCAAAAACAAATTAAAAAGCGATTCTCTGTCCTGAGGAACAAAACTTTTGAAAATAATGTGTCTAAATTAGACCCGAGTTCCAAACCCTTTTGGAAACTCACACAAATTTTGAAAAAAAACCTCAAAAGCCTATTCCAGCGCTTAAAGAAGGTGGTAAAATTTTGATCACAAATTTGGAAAAAGCTCAGAAACTTGCTAAGCGATTCGAGAGTTCCCATAATTTCAGTTTGTTTGGGTCTTACTAGTCTTATTGAGAATCAGGTTGCTCGGGATTATCTGAAATTTTCTCTCGGGAAAATATTTTTGATGGTTCCCGGGGGACTTATTTGAACCAAGTAAGATCTATAACTAAAAGGTTTCACAATATGAAAGCTCCAGGTGATGATGGAATTTTCTATATCCTCATCAAAAAACTCCCAGAGAGTACCTTGTCTTTCTTGGTAGAATGGAAAAATGCAAAAGTTGTTCCAATTTTGAAGCCAGATAAAAATCCAGCTGAAGCTTCTAGCTACCGTCCAATAAGTTTGCTTTCTTCAATAAGTAAACTTTTTGAAAAGATAATTTTAAATAGAATGATGCTTCACATCATAACGAACTCAATTTTTGCAGATGAGTAGTTTGGATTTCGAAATACTCATCAACTCTTAAGAGTTACTTTTAATTCGTTCAAACAAATCTGAAGGCCACTCAACTGGAGTTGCTCTTCTAGACATAGAAAAAGCATTCGACAGTGTTTGGCATGAAGGTTTGATTGCTAAATTGAAAAAGTTTAATTTTTGCACTTTACATTATGAAATTAGTTCAAAATTATTTAACTGACAGAACTCTCCAGGTTAATTATCAAAATTCCAAATCTAATCGACTACCTGTTAGAGCAGGAGTTCTTCAGGGTAGCATTCTTGGGCCTATATTGTGTAACATTTTCACTTCGGACCTCCCTGATTTGCCTCAGGGTTGCCACCAATCTTTGTTCGCTGATGACACAGGCATTTCCGCTAAAGGAAGAAGTCTTCGTGTTATTTGCAGCAGACTGCAGAAAAGTTTAGATATTTTCTCTTCTTATTTTCAAAAATGGAAGATTTCTCCCAACGCTTCCAAAACTCAACTTATAATATTTTCACATATGCCTAAAGCTTCCTTTTTGAAACTTAGTAGTAGTCACATAGTCACTATGAACGGAGTTCCAATTTCCTGGTCAAACCAAGTGAAATATCTTGGATTAATACTTGACCAAAAATTAACTTTTAAAGATTACATTGAGGGCATTCAAGCTAAATGTATCAAATATTTCAAATGTTTGTATCCTCTTATAAACAGGATATCCAAACTTTGCCTGACGAATAAACTTCTAATATTTAAACAAGTTTTTAGACCGGCCATGCTTTACGCTGTGCCAATATGGTCTTGTTGTTGCACTACCAGGAAAAAAGCACTTCAAAGGATTCAGAACAAATTCTGAAGATGATTTTGAAGTTGCCTCCCTGGTACAGTACTACCAAAGTGCATAGAATGTCGAATGTTGAGACTTTAGAACAACTTTGCCGAAGAGCGGCGCCGGTCGTGTAGTGGTAAGAGTGATTATCTCTCACCCCAGCAGGCCTGGGGTTTCAATCCTACACGGCGCCGCCGGGACGTTCTGAGACATAACATCTCTGATCACGCCTTCCTTCGGATCCCCGGTTCATGAGTTGATGGGTCGATAGGTAGGGTCCAAGTGTGGCAGCTGCCTCTCTGCCGTCGGTAGCATTGGTGCTCAGCAAGGAAAACAAGATCGACGAAAATCAAATCAAGGGAAAAAAAACTTTACCGAAGACATCTTCTAGCGTGCGAAATAAAAAAAAAAATGATATCGCTGCGCCATCTTTGCGGCAAAAATTTGAACTAATTTTATCCCCAAAATTATAGACCTAACTAAGTCAAGAAGCTTTGCTCAAGGCGTCAACTCAATTTGATGCAATCCCGGAGCTTTAATATTTTTTCCTGCTAGATTTAATTTCTGGCCCACTGTGCATTGGAGTCAAAGAGTCTCAGAAGTGCTCCTGACTGAGGTGGCTGAGACTGACACTTTCCTGATTTGTCTTAACAACATGAATACGAAAACTAAACTAACCGTGACACAATCTCGACAACCTGCTGAGGAGGCAGTACGAGCTCTTGCAGAGTTTTGAAGAGAATTGCAAATATATTGTATGGAGAATTTATCGAGGATGTAATTCCAAAGGGGAAATAAGAGGAGAATTTCAGAGTTTTGCAACAGAATTCGCGAGGAGAACTCTTGTTGCTCTCTTAAAACAATTTCAAACTTGTTCTGAGTCGAATTCAAGATAATTCTGAAGATAATTTAAAGGGAATTCCGGAAAGGGTTCTGGAGAATCGAATTCTGAGAAATGTTCAAACTCAATTTACGGAAAATTCTAAGGATATTTTCAAACTATTGCAAATCAATTCAATTATGATTCTGAAGAGAGCTCCAACGAAATTCTAAGAATAATGTCAAAGGAATTTTACGGAAAATTCCATGGGAATACTGGGTAGAGTTTCATGAAAATTCGAAAAGGAATTCGAAAGGATTAACTCCTCGAGCACCAAACCAATTTCAACAGCAATTCCACGTCTAATGACGAATCGGATAAACTCGGCCTTCTCCGATTTACATGAAACTTTTCATATTAATTGATTATTAAGGGTAATGATTAACGTTGTTGCTGAATTTCGGCCATTTTTAGGTTATGCTTAGTAGGTCAATAATTAGATCTAAAAACAATTATGTTGTCTCCCTCGTTTTTATAAAACCTAAGGAAACCTCTGTCTCCTTCCCCTTAGAATACTGCTACAGTGAAATACCAATCGGTTCGGCAGTAATTTGACCCCTTGAAGTCGTTTTTGTAAAATCTAGCAATCGCAATCGCAAATCATCATAGTTCAACCAAAGTGCTAGTAGACGACTCACCTTTTTGTACAGCAGCGAGCAGCATGCGACTCGTATTTTCATTCCGATTTGAAAGATGTACAGAATGTAGTGATGGAAAATCATCACCGGCAGCAGCGAACAAAGCACGATCCCGGCTGCATAGCAGTACGCCTCCTCCTTACTGATGATGGTCTGACCTTGCGCGAAGTACGAAACCAACCCTCCAAGGCACAGCGGTTGAAAGATCCTACAACGAAATCAGGAAAATAAATTAATCGGATTTGAATTTCAAATTCGTACATTCGCTATCTTAATGCCAGTAAAGCGAACTATTACCTCGAAAAGGAATCCACCGACGTGTAGAGGAACCCCTTCGACAGAATGGTCCATCCGTATATCACCCGAATCACCGCCAGAAAGCTGGGCTTATCCCGTTTCAGTTCTCGCTTCCATCGGTCCTCGAACTGATAAGTGAGCTGTTCGCTCTGGTGCGAGGATAGGGGCTCGTAGATATCGGATTCCTCGATCGGCCGCCGTAGCCCGGTTCGAAACAGGCCCCCCAGCCACCAGAAGGTGAATCGCGAGAAGGGATTGGCCTGCCCCACGGGGTTCTCCTCCCGCCGCAGCTCGTGGATGCTGGGATCCTTGCCGTACTGTGTTGGGTTCATTACTGCTGCTACTGCTTACTGCTGCATGTCACACATACACACACACACCCTCCCCTGCCTTCTCAACGCTCTCTCTCTCTCTCTCTGCAGTAGCACCACCGCCGTTGCTCCTCTCGTAGTGCTTTGTGTAATCCCGGTTTTTGGCTGGTTCAGCACCTATTAGGAGTCCTACCGAAACGAAGAAGATTTGGCGTTATCTTGTGAGGTAATTTACAATTCCACGGGCTATAAAAAGCATGAGATTATATCTTTTGATGCCCCCGAATCAGAGCAGGACTCAGAATTTTAGTTTAGGTTGTTAACTGTCGTTTTTTCGGCCGAACACCCCCTCCCCCTTTGTTCGTTAATTTTTTCAATGTCTTAACCTCAATTTTCTTCATTGGAATTTAATTCGTACATAAACTACCTCAATCTGTTGAATTCCTATGGAGAAAAAATGGTAATGAAGGTGCTTCGCTGGTGAGAACCTTATTCTCGCTACCACTTCGAAACTTTAAGTGCACAAATATCAGCTTCCACGACACGTACTACAATGTAACTGTTAATCAACGTTTGCTGCGCTGCAACATACATGCAGTAGCAATTTCAGGTGAAATGGGACTCTAGTTTCCGAGATTTGTGTAATTGCAAATTCGAGGTGGGAGTGCATTTATAGCCTATGTGGCGACCATTTGTGGACTATACAAGGAATCACCTTAAATCACAGCATTAGCGATTAATCATTTAGCCTAATTATGATTAATGATAAATGATTTAGATTAATCATTAATCATAATCGCTAATAATGATTTATTTTTTTAATTAATCACTAAGCATTAATCTTGACCATAAGCCTCACAAAATTTAAAATCATACATTAATCATAATCGTTGGAAATAAACTAATCATATAATCATTCATTAGTCAAGAAAATCCTCTGATAATTTCTCGGAATTCACCAAAGAATTCACTTAAAGATTGTTTTCGACTTTTTTAGAATTATCTGAAGTTTTCTTCCATAATTCTATTTAAAATTCACATAAACTGTCCTGCAATTTGCTTTGAATTCTGCTCAAAAATTACTTGGAATTCTCTAGACATTATTCTCGGATACTCCAGGGTTATCCTTCGGATTCCCTTGATTTCGATTTCATTGACATTCTTATTGGAATTACCTTGAAACTAACTCTTAAAAAATCACTAGGAATTATCCTTAGAATTTCTTGGGAATTTGCCCCAGAATGATTTCGAAACCATCCTAAGAATTCAATACCCTCTGAGTTATTCTCCTGATCTCCTTTGTACCACACATCAGAACCCCCTTGATGGGCATCTCAGAATTTATTAGGAATACTCGAGGAGAATTGTAAGATAATTTAAAAAAGAATTCAGAAGACAATTCCAAGAGAGTTCTGACAAGAATTTTAGGAGAATTATGGGGAAAATCGATGACAGTTATGAGGATTATTGAAACAGAATTCAAGGGTGCATTCCAATGAGCTTTAGGGCCAAAAAGTCTAAAAAACAACAGGTACAAATGGTCGAAAAGGCTAATACGAAAGGCTAAATGTAAATACAGGTATACCTCGATTATATGTACATTTTCGATTCTGGAATGTACATAAAATCGAATCGTACATAAAATCGAAGCATATTTTTATTTTGATATTTTTGTAGTTCAGTTATGAAAAAAATCAAATTACAAATACTTATCAAGTATTGAAGCCAAAATTTTCACACCATACAATGTAAAGTGGTCCAAGAGGGTGATTTTTAGTTCAAAAAATATGACTGCAAAACAAAAATATTCCTACACGGTTTCTTAATATATTTTATTTGAGTTCAAAAAGCAATTCTGATTCATATTAAGTCCATTGTTGTTTGAAATTATGTTTATTTAATCATATTTAAATAATCGATTTTAAAATAACAAGTAATGTCGTTCTCTATCCACTATCTTCTCGAAAACTTTTGATCTTATTTCACGCAACGAAAATTGAGAATTGAGAGGCCAACCGTTTTCTTCTGCATATCTGATCATTACGTCCATAGCATTCAACGCCGATTCATCAGAAACTAACTGGAAGTCGTCATCAGGATCAATAGATTCCGAAACATTCATGCTGTCATCGGCTGGTAGGCTGGAACCCATAGTGTTATAGGTCATCTCGTCGTCAGCTGTATGATTGCGTACTTTTTCCACTATTTCGGAATCTTTCAGAACTTCATATTCAGCATTCTCATCATCGATGACGCTTGACGCCATAATTTTGGCGGCGATCTCCGTTAATCTCTTTTTAATCACTGATAATGGTAAATCATCTTCGTCTTTCACATCTTCCGGATTGTACAACAAATTCCACGACTTTCTTATGGATGCTTGAGGAACTAGATCCCATGATTGCGCAATCCAAAGTATGGCATCCTTCACATTGATCCTTTTTACATTGTCGTGAAACTCTCCTGATCTTTCAAGAACCTCTCGCATCATGATTTGTCTGTAGCGTGATTTAATCATTTGGATCACGTTTTGATCCATTGGTTGAATTACAGTTGTGGTGTTGGGCGGCAGAAACATTGTCCAGATAGCACCGTCATCAGTCTTCAATTCTTCGGCATTAAAATGTGCAGAACAGTTGTCCAAAACAAGAACTGCTCGCATAGGGAGATCATTTTCTGTCAAAAACTTTCGGACCTGCGGCACAAAATGTTCGAAAAACCAGGTTTTGAACAGAACGCGGGTCATCCATGCATTCTTCGATGCGGCGTAATAAACAGGCAACTCTTTCAAATTTTTCAACGGTCGAGGTTTAAGAAATTTTCCGGTTGGTCGGCGTGCATTTGAAATATAGGCCACTTTCGTCAGCGTTGAAGATTTGACTTGGAAGCAAATCTTTGGAACGCATTTCTGTTGCAAAAACATTGACGTACTCGTCAATAACTGCCATGTTGCTTGACAATTTCTCGCCCGTAATTTTCAGAAGACGAATCTCATATCTTTTAATGAACTTGTCGATATAGCCACGACTTCCAAACTTACCCACACTAACCAATTCATTAAAAAAAATTCCGATTGAACACGGAGCATCTCCTGGCTCACCGGAATGTGTTGTTGTCTTTTTTGCAAAAACCAGATGTATAATGCTTCATCCACTTTTGGGTAGCTAGCTTGCTTGAAGGTCTTGCGATGTGCTGTAAACAACAATCTTTAAGGCAACTTATCTGTAAATAAACCTTTAAAATATTTACCAATGTTTCCTTGGATGTTCACAATATTGTTCATTATCTTTGTTTTAGACTGCTGGATGTTGTATATGGTAGATCGTGCTTTGATGCGATACTTTTCCATCACATCTTGGATCGAAACTCCGTTCTCCAAATCTTGTATAATCTTCACTTTATCAGTGAGGAGAATACCCGATCGATTCTTCTTTGCTTTGTAAGAATTATCAGAAGCCATTTTTCAGATTTCAATCTGCACGGTTTCAAGTCGAAGTAGGGGTACTAACTTTCTCACGATCATAAATGTCAAAAAGTACACGCTAACGTGAATCTACCCACATTTATGTCAAAGTACCCTAGATTTAAACTGACCGTTTAAGGAATAGGAAATATTAACGAAATATTGCGATATACACACTTAATCTAGCTCGGTAAAATCTCCAACAGCCGATTACCTCGGCATTTACTTTTTCTGATATCTCCGAAAAATATCTGTTTGTTAGCTGATATCTCAGCAACATGTTATTTGTTAGCTGAGCCTCGGCAATTGTTTTACTGAATCTCAGCAAAATAAATTGCAGAACTACTCGGCTGTTGGAATCTCGGCGAAACATTTTAAGTGTGTAGGGCGGGGATCGGTTTTAATACTTCGGGAACCTCTTACAAGCACGGGGTCAACAAAAGCTTACAACAGAATCACACAACCAAAAAGAGGGTTGTAACATAGAGGTAAATCTCAGACTAGAAGGTCCCGAAATAACGTGCTCAACTTTTTGGCTCAGCTCTGGTACTCTCTTTGGTCCCAAGCTAATCGATTCACCCCTCGAAACATAGGAAAAACCAATAACCCCTCATTTTATCTGTCAAACTTTCAATGCGAATCAAAACAAACATTGTGTAGTACTAGAATTTTGACTAGAATGGGGTACGTTAATCGTTTGCTTGGGACCAATAGCAACAATCAATACGAAACTAACGATTTTAAATTGGCTCACCACTTTAGTAGCCTATTGGTCCCAAGCAAACGATTAACGTACCCTATTCTAGTTGAAATTCTATTACTACACTATGTTTGTTTTGATTCGCCATGAAAGTTTGACAGATAACATCAGGGGTGTGTGGATTCATGCAGAACATGCAGGGGTGAGTGAAATAGCTTGGGACTGCTTGGGACCGTTGTTCTGGTACTGAGTGAGCCAAAAATAATAATGATTTTCTTCGGGACCCAGTGGTCTTAGAGTTACCTCTATGCCAATAGGCTAGTCAAGTAGTGAGCCAATTTAAAATCGTTAGTTTCGTTTTGATTGTTGGTTGTAACCCCGTACTTAAAATTGGTTCCCAATGATTAATCCGTTCGCTATGATTGGTTTTCGAATCCATGACAAAAATTGGTCCCACCTCAAAAACTGTTACTTTACCCTATATATAGTTCAGATGTGTTATGTTATGTGAACAAACAACCAAAATCAACAAAATATAGGTTTCAAAATAAAAAATTAACGTACAAAAAATATGTACATAAAATCGAGGTAACATGTACATAAAATTGAAGTACGTAAAATCGAGGGTACATATAATCGAGGGTCCATATAATCGAGGTATATCTGTATTCTGAAATTGAAAACTCAGAAGAGAAATATGATTTTATGTTATTTCCCCTTCTTTAAAAGCTACACGTTATTTGAAACAATTTTTTTAAGATTTCCGACCTTTAATATTTTGACCTTTTGTTATAGATTCCTCCAACGGAATTCTGAAACGAATTCCAAGGAAATTGTTAGGAGAGCTGTTCCAAAGCAAGTCCTATAACAATTTCAACGAAACTCAAAGTGGAATTCCCTAGTAATTCTGAAGAATATTTAAACGAATTTTTTGAGCAGTATTAAAAAGCAGTTTAAGGAATAGGTCCGTTGATCTTTTGGAGGCATAGGAATGATGATTGAAATTCCAACAGATTCTGAAAAATT